GGTTCATCTGTAACAGTGTACCGTTAGGATGGGTGTGTGCTCCGGTCATGTGGGGTTGGCGGGTTCATCTGTAACACTGTACCCTTAGGATGGCTGTGTGCTCCGGTCAGGACTACTGTACTGTTGTAGTGCTTAGGGTTGGGCAGAATGTGCTCAGAGTTGGTCTTGAACCATTTTGGGATGCTTGAGACATCTTATAATTAATTTTCTCCATGAAGAATTACAAAGTAACGAGGAAGGAAGATGTTACTGAGGTCTAAAGACGGTTAAAGTGATTCATACATTGGTTAAAGGCGGAGTGGGTGCCCCGGTTCAAATGGAAGGTGTTCCTGGCTCTTCCTACTGGTTTGTGAGTTTTCGGGTGCTGGAGCCGCTCCTCTCAGGTCTTGGTTCTGCAGCTTCCTTAGCCTTCCCAGAACTGAAGAGGGGAGGGTAGGGGCCGGCTGTGGTGTGTGACTTGGCCAGAGGGAATGCTGTGGCTGCTTTGATCTTTTATCCAGACCACTAGAACTTTCTCTGTTATGTGCAGTAAGGCATTTTGCTGTTTGGAGTCTCTAGTGACTTCTCCTTTGGGCTGGCAGCTTGGGCTAACTGGTGCGGAGGCCAGCTCTCCATCTGTCTGGCGTACGTGCACTGTAGCGTTCCCACTAACCTTAATCATTTCTGGTCTTCCAAAAGTATTTGTTTTTCTTTATGAGTGTTTTACCTGCGTGTGTGTGTGTGTGTGTGTGTGTGTGTGTGTGTGTGCGCGCGCGCGCGCGCGCGCGTGCACTGTAAGCATGCCTGCTGCCCACAGAGGTCAGAGTATGGCATTGAATTCCCCGGAACTGAGTTAGAGGTGGTTGTGAGCCAGCATGTAAGTACCAAGTCTGGGCCCTCTGAAGGGCAGTAAGTGCCCTTAACTGCTGAGCAATCGCTCCAGCCTGGCTTTTGTTTTGAAATTGAGAGGTTTGTGCCTTCTCTCTTCACTAGGACATTTAGAGGCTCCTGTAGAGCTATTAATTAGCCTCTTTTCAAAATTGTATCTAGATGAGTTCTCTCTCTTACCTGGGCATGATTCATGGTACCACAAAATGGTTATAATGGAAACATCAAAGCTCACTTTTAAATTTAACTTAGTGTGTGTGTTCCACAAGGGTAAGGACTTAAGTTTGGATCTTTAGTGCTCCTGAAAGAAATCTAAGTGTGAAGGTGTGTGTGCAGTTAGGACTCGGTACCGGGCATGTGGAGCCAGGATCCCAAGAGCTTGTCTGCACTTCTGCTCGTAATTGTTTTATTTAAGTCCCTTTTAGAAGAGTGTGTCCCAGGTCCATTAACTGTCTGTTAGTGCCGTTCAGGGCCTTCCCTGTGCCCACTGCATAGCATTGCCTGTGCTTTCCATTGTCTGTCCTGACGTTCCAGTGACATGTGCGCTGAGAACTGGTGGATTGTGAGGCCAGTACTGAAGTGATTCATGGGAAGGTGTGTGTGTGTGCAGCTCCCCTGGGTACTATGCATAGTGTAGTCTACAGTAAATTGAGAGAGTGAGCAGCCACGTCAAGGCTGGGTACTTAGTTTGTTCAGTGGGACATCTTTTGGTGAAACCCTGTCTGTTGAGTTCAGAATGAATGACCCTCTGAGGAACTCCTGAGGTTTGTTTTTATCTGTTCCAGATTTAGCGTTGTGTGATAAAGCCATAATTATGAAATCATCACTTGACTTTAAGCCAGCATTTCTCAGGTTGCGTTTACAGTCACCATGGTGACTCATTGTACTTTGCCATTTTCACTGCTTTGGCCGTGAGTCCAGAGCGGAGGTGGGTAAACCTCCAGCATCTCTTCAAGATGCAGGTGACAGCACCAGTCTGAAGTCATGTGTGACAGTGTCATTGCGTTTGTGACTTCAGTGAATAAACGAGTGCTTGAGTTCTTGTAGAGCAGCAGCAGTGGGTGTAACATGGTCTTCCTATGAGCGTGAAGGGTGCTGAGAACAGAAAGCTGCAGGATACTGCGGGGCACCACCTGATCAGCATGGACAGACAGGCCTTCTTTCTTTCCAGCGTCACCACTGGGAAGGACATGTGACATATAAATTCAGTGTGCCTTCATGTGGCATTAGTCCTCAGTAAATGTCTCATTTTTTGCTTTACAATTGTCTTATGTCACCATCTCACTTGTAAACACAATGTCTTGCAGGTGCTGACCTTAAGGAAAGAGCTAAAATGCACTCCAGTGAAGTTGGTCCCTTCGTCTCCAAGATACGAGCAGTAATCAATGACATTGGTAAGTGTGGTCACATCTTCTCCGTATGCTTAGGATGGGCTTTCTGTCACAATTGTCTTCCTGTGCTGCAGTCAAGTATGTAGTTAGATAATCAGGAGCTGTGGCTGCTTAAGCACTCTATGTATTTTATTTGAAAAGATACGTGAGATATGAGGACTTGAGTTTGATCCCTAGAACACATGTGAAAAGCTGGGTGCAGTGGTGTGTGCCCGTGATCCCAGCACTGGGGAGGCAGGACCAGCCAGCCAGTCTAACCTAATTGGCAAGCTCAGGCTCAGACAGAGACTGACTCAGAAAGTAGATGGAGAAGGAGTAAGGGAGACACTTTGCCATGACCTCTGACCTCCACACACATGTACACATGGGCACTTCAACAAATGTGTACACACGTGCACACACACACACACACACACACACACACACACACACACTTCCTCTTTTTTTCTCTTTTTTAAGTTTTTGACTCATAGATTATTGACCAAGAGTTAGGCAAGGTGATGCAGAGTCTGGATGAGGCAGGAGGATAGGATTACAGGTGAGGCCAGCTGAAATTACAGTGAATTTGAGGCCAGCTCACTAAAACTTTTTCTCAGAAAAACAAAAGGAAAAAACTAATAACTGAAAGATAAAGAAGATTGCTAGTTATTGCTCTTAAAGCTACTGTCTTAATATAAATAAAATTATGCACATCGATAAATCTGACAATATTAGCAAAATTAGCATTGCTGGCATTTCACCACTTTGTTGTGAATCCAAAAGGACAAAAAGTGGTAAATAACTTTTTTAAAAAAAAGGGACCTGAACAGCAGGACTGTCAGGTTTGATTTAATAGACTCAACCGTAAACCAGAGAGCATGTATCATTCTTTCAGAATCTTTGTAAAATGTGCTGAGCCAGAATCTAAAGTCAGTTAAATTTTCAGAAGATAGACACATAGAGACATTGTTCTTGGTTCACAGGACAGTAAGTTAGAAACAAATAGATAGATTTAGGAATCATGTACTTACATGTTTAAAAGGAACTTGGGCTGAGTTATGAGTCAGAGGAGAAGCTGTGAGCAATAACTCAAAGACTGAATGGTTACATTACTGTATGTCCAAATCGTGAGACTTGGTGTAAACACTTAAGGGACATTCTCAACCTTAAGTTCATGTCAGCGAGAGCAAGTCCACTGATGATAGATAGCAAGGCATCAGCAAAGGTTAAACGCTAAGGAAGTGTCGGGAAAGCATCAATGAAAGGACCAGAAGTCAGTGACACATGAGAGTGACAGCCTAGGTCAGGCCACTCCTGAGAGCGTGGTGCATACCAACATACTACCAACATACTTCTGTACCAGGCTTGGTACAGAAACCGCAGAGAAGGTGAAGGGAATGAGAAAATATCACGGTGAAACTCAATGCCAATAGATGTGAAAGACGAAACTGAACCAGCTGTTAAAACTGTGACGCTTTTCCTCCTCAACCTCTCATCTATCCCCCGCCATGCCAGACCCACGGCAGGCTCAGCTTAAATGTCAGGGACTTAGATCTCAGGTGTCATGGAGCTGCTGGGAGGAATCTTTACACCCTGTACCAGCCTTTCCACAGGACAGTACCACGGGAGTCAGCTAATGAACGTACAACAGTTTTTATGCCCAAACCCAACAGAAATGGTGGAAACAAGCTGATGTCTGGGAGTGTGGGTAAGACCTGCAGATTGAGGAAAAGACAAAGTTGGGGTTTCTAGGAATGTAAGGGTGGTTTCCATTGGAAAAAGCTAAGTTTAATCATGACATTAGGCAGTTAAAATAAAATCATATGTTCACCTTATATAGTGAGAAAAGCACTTGAGAAATGTTAGTCTGTATTTATGGAAAAGCTTAGTGAATGGGAATGGACTTCTTCAGCCTGAGTCAATACCTGTTTCTTCATGGTAAAATATTCAGAGCTATCCCCTGAGCTCAGAAGCAAGCTGGGAGAGACTGTGGTGGCCTCTGTCAACACCGTTTCAAAAGTCTTCCTCTGGAGAAAAGAGGGAAACAACCAAAATAAAGACTGGGGAAAAAAAAAAAAGCAACACACCAAAAGATGGAGTCATTAAAAAGTAGAATAGTGTGGCAAGATGGTAGGGCAGGGGACCGTGTGAAAAGTCATCAGTTGTTTGCCTTACATCAGCAATAGGCAGAAGCTGTCATTGTCAATGCCCAAGAAGACGGCATCGGCTCAGAAGTCTCGGTGGGTCTAGGAGCACAGGAAACGTGCAGTGACGGAGCTGTCTTGTGAGACAGGAGTGTGTAGTTAGGTGTACTGACACGTTAGTTCTGGTTCTGATCTCTGAGGGACTTGAGCAGAGCTAGGGCCCCGAGTCCCCACACAGAAAGGACAAGGAGCCTCGCTGAAGTGATGCTGCAGACTATTCAGTAGACACAAGTCAAGGTGCTGGGCTGCTTGCTGTGGGCGCGCAGGTGGCCAGACCCCTCCAGGGAGGCAGCAGACGGGACTCATTGGGGAATGGCGAATATGGGAACTGTTAATATGCCCAGAGAGGAAACTAGAATCTAAGATGGAGTGAGTGAGTTTCTTTAAAAAGGGAAGAAAAGATGAATCAGTTCTGTCAACATTAAATGTAAGAATGTCAGTTTATTAAAATGTCCTGGGAGAAGTACTTGAAACAGCTGTCAGAAGATCTGTGTATATGTGAACACACACACAAGATTGATAGACAGCCTGGAAGCCTGTGAGAGGACACTCTGGCAGAGTGGATGCAAAGCCCCACCCCGTTTGCAATTTATACCTGCTGGGAAAGGGAAAACCAGTTTTATATAGTGGAGAGTCACTGGCTGTATCAACCACACTCCAGGGCAGGCCCCATGCCCAGGAATAGTTGGTCAGCACAAAATGAATTCCATGGTCGGTCAGTTGGTCTGTCTATTATTTTTTTGTGTCAACATTTTGTTTTGGCATTTTTCTTTGTCTTGCTAGGTTTTTATTTTTTGGGGGGAGGTGAAAGGGGGAGGGAGTAGGAGAGAGTGTGAGCATGAAATTGGGTAGGTAGGGAGGTGGGGAGGATCTAGGACTTGAGGGAGGGGGAAACATAATCAAAATATATTGTGTGAAAAAAGAATTTAAATAAAAAAAATGTCCCTCACACTCTAGGAAGGTTCTCAACCTTCCTAATGCTGTAATCCTTTTAGTACAGTTCCTCATTGTTGTATGATATTTTGTGTTCTGCCAAATAAAGCGTGCCTGGAGAACAGAGGGCAGAGCTAGCCACTAGTTAACCATAGAGGCCAGGCAGTAGTGGCACACACTTTTAATCCCAGCGCTAGGGAGGCTCCTGCCTTTGATCCCAGCACATGGGAGGCTCCTGCCTTTGATCCCAGCACATGGGAGGCTCCTGCCTTTGATCCCAGCACATGGGAG